TAACGTATCAAGTATTTAATAATGAATTTGGACTCCTTTCTGTCACCAGATCTTTGCTTTCAATGCCTTCTATCCGTTGGCTGTAGATAATTTAAATTGGTACGAGACTCGTATCTATACGTCGTCTCGTGCCTATTTAAATTCTTCTTCCCGTGGCTGTTTCCATCCGTGCCTCTTAGTCAATTGCTGCGCTTTGACCATTTAACTAATCCACGTGTCATGCCACATCATCTTTTAATATAAACTCAGTTTTTTCCCAATACACAAACGACTTTAATTATCCAGTATTTAAATCTAGACACCACGTTTTGATAATCATATGTGTATTCAGCTTGAGGCATTCTAATTTTAATAAATAGAAATAGGACCTTAGTCGGAGGGATTTCTGAGTTTTTACTTTTCCAGATTCTAGGCATCTGATCTCTTATTACTATCTTTTTATAGTACTATATCATACAGACTATCAATTATCTTTTCAATATATATATAAATTCATTTGGTACTTGCTCAATTTTACGGCTTCGTGAGAATTACTGGTTGAATTCTCAAATTCTTTATATTCCAAAAACTTGGAAAGCAGCATCATCGGAATACACGAGAGTGAATCATACGGAAAAGAAGATATCTTGAAAGGGCTTGCATGCGCAGCCGACATCGCAACGGTTCGTCGGCGCCGTTATCTTCCATAACCATACAACAATCACTCTGTTAAGCCTTCTCCGTTTGTTAACCAACGATCAATTGCCTTGCACATATTTTTTTTCCATTCATATCAGTTATTCTATTGCATTTGACGTTTGGACAAAACTGTTTCAAAATTTAAGAAAATATGCTTCTTTCCATTTATACAAAGTTTGAATCATTTTTAGAGTGTTAACGATTATTGATTTCCTTCTTGGTATTTTTCTATGCTTTTAAGGATTATTTTTCAAAAATATACTGGTTTTCATTTCCGAGTGTTTTTTTTTCTTCTTTTAAAAATGATCTCAAAAAGATATAAAAGGGATTTTTGGCTTTTAAGGGTAATTTGAAGAAGATATTGGTTTTCATTTCTGGGTTTGTTTCTCCCCCTATTTTCTTGGTTCTGTGGGTGTTTTCATGTTTTGCAGGTATCACTTTTGGGAGGTGCACGTGCACAAGCAATAGAGTAGCAGCTATACGCCAGGTTCCGCAGCATTGGGAGTATACCAAGTCGAGAGTTTCAGGTTCTATTCGCGGGAATTGGTACCTCCCGCCTCCTGTTTCTCTGTCTCCTATGTTAATTACTTTGTTGCCCTAGTATTTCGTACTAGTCTAGTTAGTCTAGTGGGCTTATAGTTACTATTTGCTCCCTTTTTTGTTCTGTGTAGTATTTTTTTTCTCCTTTTCATTTTTAAACCTTCGTAGGTATAGAGACTGTGGTTTGTAATGACAGAGTAGGGTTATGTCCTCGGGAAGGTCGAGTGGTGGGGAGGGGGTGGGGCAAGGCCCAAAAGAGGTAAAGGGAACAAGATAGCATGTAGGTTGAAAATTGGATCGTGGAATATAGGGACGTTGACGGGTAAGTCTATAGAGCTGGCGAAGATTCTCCAGAAGAGGAGGGTCAATATAGCATGTGTGCAGGAGACTAGGTGGGTAAGATCCAAGGTGAGGAATGTAGACGGGTATAAATTGTGTTCTCCGGAGTCGTGAAGGGCAAGAATGGAGTGGGCATTTTGGTGGATAGGGAGCTTAAGGAGTCGGTGGTAGAGGTTAGACGGGTGAATGACAGATTGATGGTGATTAAGGTATTAGTTGGAGGGAGCTCTCTGAATGCCATTAGCGCTTACGCGCCGCAAACGGGCTTGGACGAGGAGGTTAAAAGACGCTTCTGGGAGGCGCTGGATGAGGTTGTGTGGGGTATTCTGCCTACAGAGAAGCTATTCATAGAATAGGATTTCAATGGTCATATTGGGTCGTCTACTGGTGGCAATGGTGAGGTGCACGGTGGCTTCGGCTTTGGTGATAGGAACGGAGGTGTTACCTCACTATTGGATTTTGCTAGAGCTTTTGAGTTGGTGATCGTGAACTCTGTGTTTCCGAAGAGGGAGGAACATTTGGTTACTTTCCAGAGTATGGTAGCTAAGACTCAGATTAACTATCTTCTTCTCAGGAGGTGTGATAGGGGGTTGTGCGAGAATTGCAAGGTGATCCCGAGTGAGAACCTCGCAACTCAACATAGGCTCCTAGTGATAGATGTCAGTATCTTGATGAAGAGGAAAAAGAGATTTGTACGGGGTCAGTCGAGGATCAGGTGGGGAGCTTTGTCGAAGGATAATGTGTAGGAGTTGGAGGGGCGGCTGACGAATATGGGTGCCTGGAAGAATGGTGGGGACTTTAACGCTATGTGGACGGCGACAACGGACTGTATAAGGGAGGCAGTAAGAGAGATGTTGGGAGTTTCGAAAGGTTACCCTGGCGGGCACTGAGGTGACTGGTGGTGGAATGAAGTGGTCCAAGGTAAAGTGGAAGCCAAGAAAGTGGCTTACATTAAGTTAGTAGAGAGCACCGACGAGGATCAGAAGAGAGCGAATAGAGAAAGATATAAAGAGGCTAGGAAGGAGGCGAAATTAACGGTCACAGAGGCTAAGACTGTTGTTTTTGGTCGGCTTTATGAGTAACTTGGGGGCAAAGGTGGGGACAAGAAGTTATTTCGGTTGGCCAAAGCGAGAGGGAAGAAGGCTCGTGACCTGGATCAAGTGATGTGCATTAAAGACGAAGACAGTCGAGTATTGATGGAAGAGGCCCAAATTAGGCAAAGATGGCAGTCGTACTTTCATAAACTTCTGAATAAAGAGCGGGATGGAAACATTGTATTAGTACAATTGGGGCACTCCGAGAGTCACCAAGACTGTAGGTATTGTAGGCGCTTAAAGTTGAGAGGTCATGGGTGCGATGGGTAAGATGAGTCGGGGCAAAGCAACCGGACCAGATGAGATTCCAGTAGAGTTTTAGAGATATGCAGGTAGAGCAGGTTTGTAGTGGCTGACTGGGTTGTTTAATATTATCTTCAGGACAAAGAGGATGCATGATGAGTGGCGGTAGAGTACAATGATTCCAGTGTACAAGAACAAAGGGGATATCCAAAATTGTAACAACTATAAGGGTATTAAGTTACTAAGTCATACAATGAAAGTTTGGAAGAGGGTGGTGGAAGGGAGGATAAGGAGGGGGTGTCTATATCGGAAAACCAGTTTGGGTTCATGCGGGGTCGTTCTACTACGGAAGCTATCCACCTTATTAGGAGGTTGGTGGAACTATATAGGGATAGGAAGAGGGATTTACATATGATGTTTATTGACCTAGAGAAGGCATATGACAAGGTCCCTAGGGACGTCCTTTGGAGGTGTCTGGAGGTGAAAAGTGTGTCAGTGGCTTACATTAGGGCGATAAAGGATATGTATGATGGAGCTATGACTTGGGATAGGACCGTGGGAGGTGACTCAGAGCCTTTCCGGTGGTTATGGGGTTACACGAAGGATCTGCGCTCAGCCCATTCTTATTTTCTCTGGCGATGGACGCACTGATACACCATATTCAAGGAGAGGTGACATGGTGTATGTTGTTTGCTGATAATATAGTTCTGATTGATGAGACGCGAGGCGACGTTAATGGGAGACTGGAGGTATGGAGGTAGGCCCTGGAGTCTAAAGGTTTCCGTCATGACCCGGATTTCCCACCCTCGGGAGTCGTGATGGCGCCTACTAATGTGAGCTAGGCAAGCCAATTATTGAACCATCTACCTTTTTACCAAATCTTATTCTCTTTAACAATTACGAAGAAATAACATTTAAACAACGGAATATAACATAAGCGGAAGAAAACAATAAGCCATCTGAACATGAATATCTATTACAACTGTTTGAGTCTCGACTACCCAGAACTGGCGTCACAGTTTCACAGACGGTCTAAGAATACTACATATAAAGGTCTGAAAGAATTAAATACAACACTCTCTCTGGAAATACATATAAGAAATAGGAAGGTAGATAGAAGGAGACGCCAAGGCCTGCGGATGCCTGCAGGACTACCTCGGGTTGCTTGATGAGCAAGAATCAGCAATCCCACTGCGGTCTGAAGTCTACAACAATGGGGTCTGCACAAAAGAGTGCAGAGTGTAGTATCAGCACAACCGACCCCATATGCTGGTAAGTGCTTAGCCTAACCTCGGTGAAGTAGTGACGAGGCTAGGACCAGACTACCGAATAAACTTGTGCAATTTAACTATATACAGGGGAAAAGAAGTACAAAAAGAAACAGTCATATACAGTCAAGTATGGGAGGGGAAAATATGTTGCGGGGAAACATTGAGTAGTAACAGAAGAGCAACAAATAAATATGAGGATTACCACAGTTCAATTGAAAATAGAAAAGGGGAAATCATGCTGCGGGGTACAACAAGTATCAACAGGAAACCAACAATTTAGTGTAGGGAAACCATAACGCAAACTATCAATAAAAATTAGGAAATCAAAGACAAGTGTACGGCATCACCCTTCGTGCTTTTACTCTCTCTCACCAAAACAATACATGGCATCACCCTTCGTGCTTTTACTCTCTCTCACCAAAACAATACATGGCATCACCCTTCGTGCTTTAACATTCTCTCACCAAAACAATGCACGGCATCACCCTTCGTGCTTTACGCTCTTCCTCACCCAAACAACTATCACAAGGCAAATAGGGTAATGGAATCTATAACCTCGAAATAAAATCAAGTAACAATAGAAAATCAGTAAATAAATGTAAAGGATAACATAACTCAATTATCCGCAAGAATTAAGGAAAATCAAGGACAAGTGCACGACATCACCCTTCGTGCTTTTACTCTCGTCCTCACCATAAGAATCAATACAATAGGAAATGAATGGTACATCGTGCGGCACGATATCACCCTTCGTGATTTACACTCTTTCCTCACCATGAAATCAATATGATAGGCACGGAATGGTACATCGTGCGACACGACATCACCCTTCGTGCTTTACACTCTTTCCTCACAAAACAAACAATGCACGGCATCACCCTTCGTGCTTTAACTCTCTTTCTCACCCAAACAACAATCACAAACAATAGGGCAAGAAAATAAAGGAAATTGCAATAAGAATCTCGGTAAGGGAGCAACAAGTCAACAATTAAATCCCGGCAAGGGAACAACATCAATATCATCAACATCCCTGCAAGGGATATAACAATTAAATCAACAATAGCCCGGCAAGGGTGATAACATAATGATTTCTTCTCTTTCTCATTTTTTTTTACTTCACGATTCACTTCACAACTCGAGTCAATGCTCTAGAGGTTCAATTATCACTTATATCTTCACAACTCATTTCACAACTCGAGCCAATGCTCTAAAAGTTCAATTGTCACTTATACTTTCACAATTCGTTATACAACTTGATCCAACGCTCCTCAATGTTCATAGGTCACAATTCTTTCCACAAACTTTATACAACAAATCGAAACCATCACCAATGCATGAAAGATACAACGAAGTCATGATGATCACAATTTAAAGACTCACGGGCATGCTAGACACCAACGTATAGATACTCGTCACTATGCCTATACGTCGTACTCAACAATTACCACATAGCAAATAGGACTCAACTCCTAATCCCTCAAGCTAAGGTTAGAGCAAACACTTACCTCGAACTTCCACGGCCAACTCAAGCCTCAAACACCGCCTTTCCTTTTGAATTCGGCTCCAAATCAATTGTATCTATACATAATTGACTTCATAACATCAATAAACGCTAAACAATCTAATTTCAATGCTTAATTATAACTTTCTAATCATTCTTTCCAAAAAGTCAAAAATTGACCCCCGGTCCGCTTGGTCAAAACACGAGGTTCGGACCAAAACCCGATCACTCATTCATCCACGAGCCCGAATATGTAATTTGTTTTCAAATTCGACCCCAAAACGAGGTCTAAATCACAAATAATCAAAAAGCCCTAACTCTACCCAAATCCCTAATTTTCTACCCTTAATTGCATGATTTAAGCCTAGAAATCTAATGGGTGTTAATGGAAATTGAAGAAAATGAGTCTAAGATTACATACCTATGAATTGGTGGTGGAATCGCCTTTCAAAAATAAAGGAAATTGCAATAAGAATCCCGGCAAGGGAGAAACAAGTCAACAATTAAATCCCGGCAAGGGAACAACATCAATAACATCAACATCCTGGCAAGGGAGATAACAATTCCATTAATAATAGCCCGGCAAGGGTGACAACATAATGATCTCTTCTCTTTCTCATTTTTTTTTACTTCACGATTCACTTCACAACTCGAGCCAATGCTCTAGAGGTTCAATTATCAGTTATACCTTTACAACTCATTTCGCAACTCGAGCCAATGCTCTAAAAGTTCAATTGTCACTTATACTTTCACAATTTGTTATACAACTTGAGCCAACGCTCCTCAATGTTCATAGGTCACTATTCTTTCCACAAACTTTATACAACAAATAGAAACCATCACCAAGGCATGAAAGATACAACGAAGTTATGATAATCAGAATATAAAGACTCACGGGCATGCTAGACACCAACATATAGATACTCGTCACCATGCCTATACGTCGTACTCACCAATTACCACATAGCAAATAGGACTCAAATCCTAATCCCTCAAATTAAGGTTAGACCAAACACTTACCTCGAACTTCCACGACCAACTCAAGCCTCAAACAGCGCCTTTCCTTTCGAATTCGGCTCCAAATCTATTGTATCTATACATAATCGACTTCATAACATCAATAAACGCTAAACAATCCAATTCCAATGCTTAATTATAGCTTTCTAATCATTCTTCCCAAAAAATCAAAAATTGACCCCGGGTCCGCTTGGTCAAAACACGAAGTTCGGACCAAAACCCGATCACCAATTCACCCAGGAGCCCGAATATGTAATTTATTTTCAAATCCGACCCCAAAACGAGGTCTAAATCACAAATAATCAAAAAGCCCTAACTCTACCCAAATTCCTAATTTTCTACCCTTAATTACATGATTTAAGCCTAGAAATTTAATGAGTGTTAATGAAAATTGAAGAAAATGAGTCTAAGATTACATACCTATGAATTGATAGTGGAATTCCCTTTCAAAAATCGCCCAATTTGGAGTTAAGATGAAGAAGTTATGAGTTTTGGTGTAAATCCCGTAATGGCTACTGTTCTAGTCTTTTAAAATAACTGGGCGAAATTACTCATTGCGTTCGCGATGGGTTAGGCCTGATAAGCCTTCGCATTCGTGGAAGACGACTCGCGTTTGCGGA